CTCTGCAAAGGTTAGGCTTTTATCAGGGCGATGAGCGGAAGCCGTTAGCCGAGGTTAGCCTTTCTTCCCTGGCCCTTCTCCCAGAGGTGGGCGGGGGCTGAGGGCTCTGGCTTCAGAGCTGGGATCAGATCCCAGCTTCATCTCTCACCCTCCCCCGGGACCTGCAACCAGCCCCCTGTGACTTCTCAGATCTCCCATTTCTTCCCACAAAAATTGGAGAGATTACTAATCCGCATGTCATGGGGCAGTCTTAAAGACTGGGTGAAATGGTGGGTGAGCACATGATAGGAGCTCAGCCCGTGGGGTCCCCTTTTTTCATCCCCTTTTCTGGGTCAGATGCCACGTGAGGTTCCTTTGAGTGACCACCCTCCAGCCTCCATAACTGGGGCCAGGTGTTAGGCGGCTGTAGGACTTAACGCCCTCCGCCTCCCCTAGGACTGAAAGTCAACCGTTTCTCCAAAGCGCCTTACCGTTAACCTTGGGAATCACAGCAATGGGTACAACATAGTTCATGACAGCCTGCAGCACTTCAACCTGCAAATCAGAAGGACGGAAGCCATGTCACGGCGCCCGGGCATCAGCCTCCCTCCCCGACAGGGCAACCTCCGAGCTGGGACCCAGGTGATGCCGGGCAGATTCCGCAGCCCAATCAGGTCACCCAAGTGATCTCTTTTGCACCCAAAGGTTCCAGATGTGAAGCGTGTTCTAGATGGAAGTTACCAGGCCGAGGAAAGGAAGGTCATCAGAGAGTATTTAACCACGAAAACCGTTGTGTAAGAAAATGCATCACCTCAGACACTGCCGGCTATGGGGCAAACTGGTTCAACCCTTCTGAGGCTCTGTTTGGCAATGTTCAGCAAAAGCCTTAAAAATGTGTGTGCCCGCCCGGGTGGCTCCGCCGGTTGAGCATCCGACGTCGGCTCAGGTCATGATCTCGCAGTCCGTGAGTTCGAGCCCCGCATCGGGCTCGAAATGTCTAACAAATGGGGGAATTTCCTAGGGGGCCCGGGGGGGCTTTGATTCTAGGAAATACTATGCAACTGTTAAAAATAGTACCGTAGAAATGTAATTGTCCACACAGAGATATTCATGTTATATTTTTGAGTGAGGAAAAGCAGGCTATGGAAACCACACAATTCTGTTGTGTTGTTGGCTATGCATAGCAAAAGGTCAGGTAGGATATACTCCGAATGATTAAGTGGTAAGAATAGAAATGGCTTTTATTCTCTTTGGTTTGCACACCTGTAGGTTCTGATTATTCTATAACGTACATGTTTTGCTTTTGCGATAGTAAAACAATATTCAAAGGTAATGTGGCACCTCAAGATGATTGCCCGGTGACATTTACAGCTTGTAAATATGTACATTTTTGTTTGGGGAGCAACTGAGTTTCCTTCTCCAGCCTGTAAATCCCTGGGCTCATGAAATGTGGTGCCCTTCTTCCCATGAATCTGAGAACTTTAAATTTTGATCTTATGCAGAAGCAGACGTTGGTTACCGACTGAGTCAAGCCACCGTATATCTGGAATATTCCCAATATTCTGGGAATATTGGGAAGAAGCAGGCCCACAAAACCCTGGCACCAGTAAGTCTGTGAAAATACAATGAGGACACTTTGGGTCCTTCTGTTCGTTGTAGTCCTTTTGGGTGGAAATGGCTGGCTGGATTTCCATCCAATGGGGAGGGATGTTGGGATGGTCTGACGTCAGGGCCAGGTGGCTTCCAAGGTACCCACTTGGTGGGGCTCTTGGGGGGCATTTCAGGGATCCGAGAAAATGCTCTCCAGGGGTTCAACAGGATGCCCCCTGGGAGATTGGGCCGTGTGTAAGACAAAATCAGCATGCCGTGGCTTCTAATGGAAGTCACAAGGGCAACTGGAAGTCACAAGGGCGACGCTCATTCAAGGTGGCTGGTGAAGAGTGCAAAGCTGCTATTTACTTGGGCAACTCCCGTGCCCTAGAGGGAGTGAGGGGGGTGGGCAGGGGTGAGTCTGCTTAATGATGGTCAGTGATGGCAGGTAGTGGAATCATCCAGCAGGCTGGCGAGATACCTACTGTCTCCCCTCCCACCTGCCCTTCTCCACCTCTACATGACTCCGCCCTTCACCCAGCTGCTCAAACCGAAAAACGAGGACTCATTCTTCACCACCCCCTCCACCCACATCAAAGTTCTCACCACGCGGCCTCGCACACCACTTCCAAAGCGTGGCTCCAATCCACCATTTTTCTCCTTCTTCACCCACAAATGCACTCCGTCTCCCTGCTGATCCACCCGGGCTAGCTCTTGTCCTCCCAAATCCATGCCCCCCCCCCCCCCCCCCCCCCCAGCCAGGGGCATCTTTTATAAAGCTACAAACCAGAGCAGGCCGCCCCCTGTGTGGAACAGTCCACCGGCTTCTCACTGCCCTTTGAACACAATCTACTCCAGGCCAGAAGGCCCAGGATGAGCCAGCCCCACCTGCCTCTCAAGCCGCATCTCCTCCTGTACCCCCACGCCCAACTTGCTCCGCTCCAGCCACGCAGGCTTCCCTCCATTCCCCAAACATGTGGAACTTGTTCTCACCACAGGGCCTTGGCTCCCGCTGTTCCCTCTGCCTGCAGTAGCTCTTTACCTTGCTGGCTCTTTCAGCCCAGATATCACCTCC